TACCTACTTTTCGATCTGTTTCTATTTCTTTACGCTTGCAAAAGTTAATTAGAACAAAACAAATCACAATGACATCTATTCAAAATAAGTATCAAAACTAGTTCAAGTATAGCTATTCGCGAGTTAAACTACCGATTTTTGCCTCTGCGAAACGTCAAATTACTCGTTGTTGAGTGACAGTTGAGACTTGTCAGGCTTGTTTATTTATTGGAATTGATGACATTTATAACATAAAACAATGCTTACCTACTTTTCGATCTGTTTCTATTTCTTTACGCTTGCAAAAGTTGATTAGAACAAAACAAATCACATTCAGATGTAAACATCAATGGGACACCTATGTCAACAAAACAACTGTCAAATTACTACTTAACTTGTAGTTATAATTTTAGCCCCCGGAGGGCGTCTAAACTTTTGAACTCGCGAATATCAACATGGTTTGATATACACCCTGACGACTGTCACGGCATTAATGGCACCGTGTGAACGAGCCTTTAAAATATGAAGTTAAAGCAATTGTTCCTGTTATTTCTCAGAATCGAATTTAAAATAATATTCGATACGACGGCGAAATCCGTTTTTCAGTTTTTTACGGATCAAAGCCTAGGGATTCCGGTAAGATATCCATAAACACCCTTAAGACGGATTAATCCAACATGAAAAAATTTCCTGGAATTTAGAATTCGTTTTCTGAACTGTCGTCGTTATTTCCGGGAGTTGAGTTAATATCACTTATTAACACGAAAAGTACGGGTAATCGCCGAATTTCCATTTTCTATAATTTTATCATAATTCCCCGCGTTTGCGACGTTGTCATCTTAAATATTTCACTATGTTTTAATGTACCATTGTTGCGCCGATATAAAGCAAATGCATGCAATTCAATTCATGAGCGCCATGTAATTGCATTTGCAATAAATGTCTAAAAAGTTTTACAAAGAAAAGTTGTTTAACAGAAAATCACTTATTTGATTGATATTATTGCTTGTTAGATGTTATGTATGCACATACACTCACTGTATTATTACACATTCGACTTTATTAAAATATAATATCTATTATTTCAGGCATTCCAGTAAATCATCAAAGGTTACTATTCCAATCAAATGAACTAAAGGACACCACAACACTATGCGATTCAGGTTTAGAGAATGGTTCGACTTTAATTCTAGTGAATTCAATGCGTGGAGGGCCGATAATCATGAGGAAATTGCCGGGAAGCACCGAACAATATTTATTAAAGGAACTGACCGGGATTTTGCATAACGCTGGGTAAATTTTTACGGTTTGCCTCAAACGTTTTTAGTTGATTTATCATTGATTTCTAGAGAGGAAATGCTACGATCTAACGTATCCCTAATCCTGTTCAGGAAAGGTGATATCATTAACTTTCTACGTGTGATCGAAAATGAAGACGGGACTTATTCACCATATAGCGACAACCCGATTTCACCGCCTTCCAAACCATCACGCAAAGAGAAAATAGATGTTTTCGATAGGTAAGTAAATATTAAGTATTTTAGCTAAGCTTTTGTTTTAATACAGAAAATATATGTGTATATATAAAAACAATGAGTCGTCATGGATAGACGTTAATATAAACACCTAACTTAGATAAAAGTGTTTCTTATTGGAAATTTATCTAAATTTAAAGTTTAATGTTACGTACAGTTTTGGTTAATGTTTTGTATTAATTGTATCGGGTTTAAAATGTCAACAGACAAAAACCTAAGTCGGTTTTAAAACAACACTTTTAAATGTTAAAACATTATATTTAATAATTCATACTTAAGTTGAGTGTTATGAGTTCATAGGCTACGGGGTTTATGGTGTTTTAAGTTATTTATTGCGCGATTAGGTACTACATAGTTATAAAGTCCGTACAAGTTTGTAATGATTTCTCGAAATATTTATGTGTAAATACGATCAAAATTAAAACACATTTTATTTTGAATAATAGTATTATTAGTAGTATTATCACCATATCTTGTAATATGGTAATAGTTGAGTAAATTAGTGTCGATAAACAAAATTTGGTAGATATGTTCTGGCATACAGCACATTTTAACGATGTTGAGTATATACGGGTAGTACAGGATAATTCAAATTTGGGGTCATTCCTCTGGGGGTGTTTTGAGAGTACAGGAAAAATAGAAAAATAATTAATTGTTATTATTAAAAACAGATATTTGCAAAAAACTAGATCAGAAGGACGCAACGATGCTTTTCAAGGTAATCTGCCTTATTAACATTACGTAATTACTTGTTGCTTCTTAATTTTCAAAAACTCCAGTAACCATAAATAAACAGAAAGGGAAAACTAGTGTTGGTTTTTGGCGTCCTTTGTTCCATCTTGACTTTCTTGTTAGTTAGTCTAGATTAGTTTATTATTTATTATATGGTTATAAATGATTTCCCTGTTTAATACCCTTCTACCGGTATTCACAAACATTTTTTTACCGTACCGCCTATGCCCTTTTTTGTTTTTTTACCCAAGTAAGGTAACTGCACAAAGTTAACCCTAATATACTTAGAGTCCGTAAGTTTCAACAGCTGATTTATCGATTTTAAAAAGTCAAATTTAATAATTGCACATCAATTTATTCAACACGGCGCAAACCATATATAAATAACCATAACATAACGATACATAAATGCACCCTAAATCCAACTTCGAAAATATAAATTGTACTTCGAAACCTGCTACGAACCGCATCGCCGACGCCAGCGCCAAATCCAACTCCAACCTTAAGTTTATAAATCCGGCTTTATACAACTGAATATTAATTCAAGTCAAATCAGGGTATGTTTATTTTTATAAAATCGTGAGGATGCTTCAATTTTTATTGTTTTTCGCTGTCGCTCCAGTCTCTATACCAGGAACTCTGTGAATTGAAATTAAAATCGCTTTCATTTTTGTCCACGCTTGTAATTTGATTTGCAAGGAAGTTCTGCCGCTCTTCTTGGCTTCAATAAGAAATTTATCTATTTCGGCAATAAGGCTGCTTTCCTCTTTCCATGATGCCACGATTTTTACGACACGTACGACATACAACAATAACAACTCGCATCATACATTATCCAACTTTGGTCTGAAACGAAATGTTATGTTCTGTTAAGCCTAAATTTTGGCAATTGTCGAAAATAATTCAAATAGATTTTTCAGGGTTGCCATATCCCTACAAGGTTTAACTAATCCACCGCTGAATTTCAACGATGCATAGTAGTTGGGTTCTTAAACCAGATTAGTTATTAAACGCGTTTAGTTAATCGGGATTAAGGGGCTGGCAGTGCATAGTTGTTCAATCGCAAGAGGTGTTTGAATTTCTATCAGTTTAACTTCAACCATGTTTGTGTCAGTGTAGTCACTTTACTAGGCATCTATCGCAGCATTATGTGCTCACATTTTAAGAGCTTCCCGTATTCGGTTTATTAAACCCTGGTCAATTTGTACCGGTGTTCGGTAGATCCGAGATTGAATGTATCATTGTGTCCTGTGTATCTTACAGACAGGGTAGCAATGTAGCCCTTTCTCCAGTCTCTGGGAAAGTGTCAGTTTGAGTACTCCTGGAAGGCTCTGCTGCAAGTATTTTAGTTTCGCTAGGTCTGGCACCCGAGCAGCTATTGTCGTCCACTATCTGCCTCAATTCCTGGACTCAATCGTCCAGTGTCTCTAGCCCTTTGTTGGTGTAAGCTTTTCGAATGCTCATGTTGTTCGAATGTTCATTAGGCTACCAATCAAACATGAAACCATTTCAAAATAATACTTGAAAACTTTTTTTTGTCGTACTCCTAAGTGATTCCCTATAACTCCTTAACAGGAATGACGCCAATTTTGAATGAGCATGTTTTTTGTGGTAAACACTGACTTGAACATTGACCAGTTTTTGAACAGGTGGATTATTACTGCTAATAGGCACTTATGGTTGTTTATCAGTTTTCCAATTAATGCAGTTATGGAAGGATAAAGGCGAATAGATCAATTATCAATTGAAAAGTTATTTCCTTGTACTGAGAAATTGGTGTTCCATAATATGTTTGTAGGTTATGCTTTGTCTATAGAACCAATACATTTGTTTGCTTACAGGTTTTATAGGTTATATATCTTTTTGGGCAATAGGCAAGTGAAGCAAACATCAAATCATAATAAACCAGGATAGGCTATGTACACCTAGACATTTTCGTATTCAAGGTACGGTTAATAGTACAAAGTGGCAATTTACGTCAATCCTATTAAAACAATTTTTTTTAAATTAATCTATATTGCAAAATGCCACTTATGGAAGTAATTTGAGTTGTGTACGGTGACCATATTGTACTTCCCTCAGCGTTAGAGAATAGACCGAAAATGGGCCCCTCTGATTGGCTGTCCTTGCAATGTCAAGTGCGCAATAATATTAACACTTATAACCATGTTTTGAATTATTTTAATTATATCAACAAATTGTTGACTGCATAGAGCTCTGGTATTTTATATTTATTTCTGTTTCATCTGTATTTCTCAGTCTCAAACCGCTATCCAAGTATTCTTATTTTTTGCTTTATGTTAAGCGGCAGCTCAATGATTGATTATGCTTTTTTCAAATAGGTAAAGGCACCAACTCCAAAGAGTAATTAGTCTTTGCCAATACTGAAAAAATAAATATTGTTATTGGCTAAGGTATGGTAGTTCGGTCGATGGTATTCTTCATACTAAACGTCACATGGCCAGCCAATAACAAGGTCTTATTTTCGGTCTATTCCTTAGAAATGTGAATCAGTTTTAATTCCAAGAAAAACACTGGAAAACATGGCAATACGTTTGTCGGTGTCATTGTCTTAACATTGTGCAAAACATGTGTAAATATAACGTAAATGTTCCAAATATAGTTCTGAAATGCAAACCGAATCGTTTATATATTTGTGCTGTATGCTGGAAATAAAGTCAAATTTTCTTTTCATTATATCTTAAATACGCGCATATAAGACCTAATCCTAAAATGTACAAAGCGTTAAGCTCCCGCAAAGAAGATAAATCCCGTAGGCAAACTTTACTTAGAATTTGTATAATAATCCAAATGTTTATTTGGCATCAATATTGATAACTGACAGTAAATAACGAGTGTATATCGACTTATTTTCTGTAATTATTTCTGTTATTATTTATGTTATTAAAAAAATAAGTAACTTTATTTCAGGCTCAGTGAAGATACAGAAATGTGTACTAAGATCGCTACGTTACGTAAAAATATGAAGGAATTGAATATGAAAAAGCGTATTAGAAGTAGGTTCTCCAATGCCGATTGTGCTACTGCGGGTCAGGATGCGATAGGTGGTGAGAAACCAAATGCGAATGATGAAGAAAATTACGATTCATATAAATTGATGGAAGAATGTGCTGTGGTTTCCTTAGATAACTTTAATTTAACTATATTCGAAAACACTATGTGTAAGTATTTACTAACCCGTAGGAAATAGTGTATAAAAACCATATTTTGATTTGCGTAATCTGTTAAACGATTATTCAACTTTATCAGTAACATTTATTGGTTTCATCATTTTCCGCCACAACATAATTTTTTCTCGATTTTCAAATTGTCATTAAATATTTCTTCAGTATCGCACCTATTTTTAGCTCTTGTTAACACAACTCACTCATTTTAGAGATTTGTAGCTATTATTATTTTCACATACATAATAATGAGGGCTCATTATTGAGGTCCTTCAATCCATATTTTTGAATTCCAGATGAAGCAAGTCAGTCTGAAAGTGAAGAGATTGCTCTTAAAGATAAACATCGTACGAAACCTAAGGTAATTCAAACAGTTCCTGCCAAAGAATCAACCTCAAAACATATCTGTAACGAGAAGAAACTCCAAGAGACTCAACCCCGAGAAAATTTATCCAAAACTTCGAAAAGACGGGAACTCTCAACTGAAAAATTTGAGAGAAGTCCTGAGGGTTATTTAACGTTCTCCAGGAATAGAAATTTAGATAAAATTGATGATTGTCAGACTTCCAGTCGTATGAACAGTAAAAGTACGAATTACGACGAAACGTTGCGCAGTTTAGATATCAGTCTTGGTAATTCTTGTGTTTTGCCTAGACTGACCAACTTAGAAAACAAAGAAGAAGTGTCGTTGACGTTAAAAAATAGCCAAAACCAATTTCTATTAGAGGGTTTACACTCTAATAAATTGCCAGATTTGCAAATATTGGAAACAGGTAATACTATTTCTTCATTATCAACTGTATCTGTATAACGTGAGAGACAAGTTTCTTTGATAACTGACATTTCAATATAATTTTCAGATCATTTTCTTACCAAGGACATAGGAGATAGAGATCAGATAGCAGAAAACAATGTAGGATGTAATCCGAATAAAACGGATAATGGCATTTTAAATATACCAGAAGCAAACACTGTAGGAATGAGTTCATCAAGATGTATCGATGCTGCTAAGCGTTTGCCAAATTTGACCAATAGGATTGGCAGAAGAGCATTTGGTTCGTTTACTCCAGATTTAACCTCAAGAAAGTCAAACACAATGGGAAGTCGAACTGCAAATTCGGCCAGTCTCATGAGTTCAGTTCCTTTAGCCAGTAATTACTACATGCCAAGTGGAAATAGACCGTCCCGACCGCCTTCAACTATATCGCCTCGTAGTATGGGAAGTGTTCAAAATAAGCAATGCGAACATAGGAGGTAAGATACAATAATGGTTAAACGTTTATGTGCAAATGCAAATGTTTCCCTGAGCTGTCTTGATGCTTGAGAACAAAGATGTGAATTGAGATTATTCAAAATCGAAGTCGTTTCTCTGGAGGTGTTATTTGGGGATGTTAGGGAGAGCAGATTAAATAGTTAACAAAAATTATCTCACTAAAAGCTGAAGTATTTGCACAATTATATCAACTAACTAGATCAGAAATTTGGCAACAATATATTTGATCCGAACCTGGAACTGATGTTGTTCTCATTAACATTGTCTGAATCTATGTTGCTTATTGCGGAAATCAACATTATCAAGGCAGCCTGAACGGCAAAAAAAAGTTGTAGATCAGGTTGAAGCCTTTAAATGATTTTCTATGACTGTGGGTCTTTGGGTAATTATTATATTAGCCCGACCCGAACGTGCGTTTCTGTTTTTATAAAACAACGGATTTGTGCGTGAGATTTTGGCAATCAATTATTTTACTAGCAATATTATAGTAATTCGTCCACTAGTCAAACGTGTAGTAGTTTTTCGGACGCATGTTGTTCGGCAAGTATCTAAACATCTGTAATACTGATTAATTGTACTGCAGTCAGTTCTGTTACAAGGGCAACGCCGAGTTTGCTGTCTTTGCTCGAGCAGTATGGACTTTTTGGTTTGTTTAGACTTTCGAAGACTGTTTTGGCAAAAATATTGCAAATTTGTCTTATGCGAAAGTTTCCGGGGTCCATAATGTCCAAAGTGTAAATGAAATTTTCGTTTATTTTTAATACATTCATAGTTATTACTGCAAAAAAAAATGGGTTTGGGGTTTTTTATAGATCGATTAATCCGAATTTCCTATAGTGCTTGTAACTTCCTAAACTAGCTTGTAGTTCCCAGCGTGCAATAGTATGGAGCCATTTAAAGCACCAGAACTTTTAGCTGGTTTACAACTTTTATGAATTATGAAAGTATGAAAATATGTTAACATTTCATAATTAATAACAAACTGTTTTATTTTTTTGCAGCTACACAATGGATGGTGTAGGCAATATAGTTTCTCATTCAAGCAACAGTCTCGATACTTCGGTTCGAAATTTTACAAGACTTGAACCTATAAAGAATCTGACTAGCAGTAGATGCGAAAGTCCTGTATCGGGAGCCGCTGGCGGTACGTCTGTAGAAGAAATGAGTGCTCAGTTCGCAGAACAATTACATCTGCTCGATGGCGAATCTGCTACAGACGTGTATGAAGAAAGTTTGTCTGTTCGTACACGGAACAGGGTTCACCTAACTCGGTTATTAATTGCGTCTGAAGGAACCGAAAGGTCAAAAAGTTCATCAGATGGCATCGAATTGGACAAACATACTCAGGACTTTTGGGAAATTCACGAATCTGTCAGTAATAGATTAAAGCGCAGTGCCACCTGTAAGGTAAGCAGATTTGGACTTCCCGTTGATTCATGTTCACTTTCAAACTGCATTGCTAAATAATTTAAAACAGTTATGTAGAGTAATATGGATTGTTGAAATTCAAGCGAGATAATTCAATTTAAAATAAAAATGATCCCTAATTCTTAAAAGCGGCAAGCTAACGTTCTACGCAATTGTTTTAAAAATGAAACAGCGCTATAAATGGAAATAAAATTATTAATCTTTGCATTAAGTTGCAAGCAAATATTTGTCCAATTCCAAAGTGGAGCTCAAATAACCTATTGAAAATTGAGCTGTACTTTTGAAATTGGAAAAAAATCTGAAACTATATCACAGATGTTGATTGGACTACTATAAATATTAAATAAAAAAATATATTGAAAATTATAACCTTGCGCTAATTAATAAAATTTATTTACGGAAAATGGGATTTTATTTCTAATGCGAATATTATTAAGATTGCTAAAAGCTACGTATCTAAATGGCAACAAGTGCTGATTCAATTATTGTTCAATTTTAACAAGTTAAAATATCTCAATGTTCAAACAGTTGCATTTGAAAACAATTTGAACATTGGGCTCAGTTTAAGTTAACAATAACGTTTCAAGGTTGGAATGCTGCAACGACGCCAAGAAGTCGAATATAACTACGACAGCTTGGGTAATTCACAGACCAATATGAAACCCGACATAGGAAATTTTTCAAAATCATCTAGCGATATTGGAGTATGTTCAGGATCGGCGAATTACTGCATACCGCAATACATGGCGGCACCCAGTGCCATTCCACCACAGTATGCGCCAAAACACCATCCTAAATATTGTGATTTATTTTTTACGGATGAACCTCGATCGCCTTTATATAGCAGAAAAAATAAGTAAGTAATATTGTAATATTTAGCTTAGGAAATGAGTTATATATAGGGTGAAATCTTCCGGTTTCATTGCCTGTAAATATAGTAATATAGTCAGTCTATCAAAAATACAATTAGAAGAAATTATAAATTAAAATTTCGATTGTTTTCGGAAACACGAAAGAAATGACTTCTGAAATAAAATGGCACTATTTCTGTTGTTCTACTGCCAATGTGTTCTGTCGTAAAAAGTCATTACAAAACGGATTCAGCGTTGTGATATTGAAATTAGCAGAAGAATTCTTTAATTTGCGAATATGGCTTATTGCTATTTTTTATATGAATTTATTGGTGCTTCTATTGATGAATGTAAGTGAAATGTTTTGCTCCTGAAAATATTTAAAATTCCACAGTTCATACTGTGTCCCCGTTTGATCAAATATGACTATGATGTATCGGGTTGTCCGGAAAGTTCGTGCCGATTTTGAAGGAAAATTGCA